TCTGCCTGTCCTTTGGATCCTGCATGTTCTGCCAGATGGTTTCTGTACAGTGACTCCTGTCTTGGAGAGAACTGAGCCTCCTGCATCCACTGAATATCTGTTCCAAAGCTCTTCAGAACCCTTTGGAACAGCATGCAAGGTGGTGTGTATGGGTGAAGGGGGAATCGGTGAAAATAAACTTGCCCCCCTTCTGTTTGCAGGACCTTCTGCTGGACTGAAGATCTGTACATTCATGGAAGGTCTCCTTCTGTGAACAGAGATGCACCTTTGGATCGGTCCATTGTAGATGCTTACATATATGAGAGAGAGAGAAATACATTGCACAGTTGTCTGGATTTGGGGTGTAAATAAATATTGTGCAATGAATTTATGAAATTCACTGCCAACCAATGAAGTGATGGTGACTGGCTTAGATGGTCTTGAAAGAGGCTTAGACTAATTCATGGAGGATAAGGCCATCAGTGGCTATTAGTCATGGCAGCAGTATGCCCCTGAAAGCCAGTTGGTGAGGGTGGGTGTGGGAGAAGCAAACCTATTTGCTTTCATGCCCTGCTGGTGGGCTTTTCGGAAGTATTTGGCTGGCCACCAATGGACCTAGAATGCTGGACTAGATGGCTCCTTGGTCTGATCAGCAGAGCTCTTGTAGCAACTGCATAACAGCTCAGAACATTTGTCATTTGTGTTGTCATTCCTACAAGCTCAGTTTGTATCAGAGCCCCTGATCTCATTGCAGTTGAGACATTAGCCTCCATTTGTCATCCTTGAAAGTTTAAATGTGGGTGTAATCAGATTCTTTGGTACTGAAACACACAGTCTCTCTTATCGCAGTAGCTTCGTGACAAGATTAATCTTAGGTGGTGGATAAGATGCAGCTGGTATGGGGACAGCCTATCATAAGGGAAGTCTATAGTGGACCCCTCCATAGTATTTGCGTCAGGTGCTGTGAGCCTCAAAGGCACTGGTTTCTTACTCCCTGTGGTAGGGGCACAGCTGCTCAGAAGAGGAAATTGTAAGCCAAAAGCTGTGTCCTGAAAAGAGGGAGCTGAGTATTCAGAGTGAGGAACATCTCCCCTCTCAGGCATGCCTTTCTCTGGCATATGTTAAGAGTGCTGTGCTGAAACTGGTCCTCCAGTTTCTCAAAAGGTTTCTTCCCCTGTGAAAGAAACTTCCATTTTTATTCTTGAGGGCACTTTAGAAATTATGTAGAATTTCATTGAGTACAGGGCTTTAAGTTTTCTTTATCGTTGCAAGGTGACTGGAGTTGATATGTTGATATGTGTCCCATCTCCCCTTCCCAGTAAACATTTCTCTAGGGCTCTGCAGCCTCCCTGGCTGCCTGTACTTTCTAAACGTAAAAGGGTCCATGGGAGAAATTACCTTATTATGGTCTTCCGCTGGGCTTTAATTGTAGCACAGGCCCCTGGGAAGGCTGCAGGGCATAGGCCACTGATATAATAACTTGAAGAAAGAAAGAAAGAACGAAAGAAAGGGAAATAAAACTTTCTATCGCAAAAAGATATTTCCCCATTGATGCAATTTCTTTTCTCATGAATTGATAGAGAATGGTTGAAAAAAATAGTGGGCAAAATTTCCAGGCTGGCACTGATCCGTTACTTCCTCCTACTGTCTATAGCCTGAGCTACATGCTACCTGGTCTGGAGCTATTGTGTTGCAGTGTCTATTCCTCTTGTAGCTTTTCTGATCCCTCATAGACTTGTTGCTGCTTGCTTGCATCTCCTAAGCCCTTCTCTTTCTTCCTCAGTCTCAACAATACCTGATTCTAACCCATTGCCTGCCTGTCCCTTAGATCCTGTGTTGTTTTCCAGATGGCGTTCAACACAGTGACTCCTGGCTTAGAGAGAACCAAGTCCCAGGGCACCTGGACAGGTTCATTGTCTATTTTAATGTTTTTTTCTGGCCCCTGTTTTGAACACTACACGATTTCCAAGTAAGATAACAGTAGGCGAATGCTAGAAGCAAATGCCTTACAGAACAGCATTCCTCTTTCGCCTACATTTTGCAAATGTTTTTCTTTCAACCGCTGCTGTTTTTTACTCTGTACATCTTTTGATGGTACAGGAAATGCAACTCCCAGGCAGTGTAAAACTATTGTCCTGAAATTGTCATTGAAATCAATAGCAAAACAGTGTGTGCTGAAGAAATGAAACACCTCTTTTATTCTGCTCTGTCTAAATGGTGCTCCTTTGTTGAACATGATTAAATGTACATCAAATACATATGGAAAACATGATATTCTGGGTCTTGTCCTATCTCCCTTACAATACATCTATAGGCCTTTGTGCCTTTTTACCTCACCTTAACACAAGTCGTAGCACGGGTAGGAATAAAGCTGAAGTGCTGAAATAATGCAAGTTATTTTCAGTGAAAGGGATCAGCATTCACTTTGAAGACGCTGAGAGCTTCTTACCACTTGCTGGAGAAACTTGCTTTTCAGTCTAAGAGGGAGAGGAATTATCACCGCAAGGTCACCCATGCACTGACCTTGTCTCCACAGGATTTATCCTATTAGTCGGCCTGCAAAATAGAAAAGCACTTAAAGAAAGAAAGAAACTGTAGAAGCATTTAAAGCACCAGAAAAACTCTTCAGAGGAAACTTCTAGAGTAGCTTGGTTTTGTTTGTTTGCTTGTTTGTTGTGTGAAATCTTGAAATAATTTGAAGCCTGGAGTTAGCTGTGTGGGCCACAGGTGGCAAGTGAAAGTTTTAATGATAGGCTGGTCCAGGCCTTGAGGTAAATTATGCATAATTATTCATAACTGCTATTTTTGGCATGCCTGCATTTGTCCTAGACCTCTGCCGGAGGAAACAATTTGAAATAATTAGTGGGCTAGTGTGTTGACAATGATGAATGAATCAAACATGTCTGGTGCCAAACATGGAGCTCGATAAGAAGCAGATAACTTGGGTAACTGCAGACTTCTTGGTTTAGACTCTCCAAGACTGGAAGCATTTAGCACATTGTAGTGGGTGGGTGAAGCGCAACCTACAGAACTAAATTAAAAAATCCAGTGTGCTAGCATCTGTTATCAGAATATCAATAATTTGTAATACATTGCATTGTAAGCAGGCATTTTTATATTGTGTTTTCAAATATTGTGTCAGAAATGTATTTTCTCCTTACTTCAGTGCAGTATTATTAAGTGCTGCTAAGCCACTTCAGGAAACTCCATATGCATGGCGTTTGATGTGGGTAATTTATTGGAACACCAAATATGTAAAATAAGAATGGCACATATGAGTTCTTAAACAAGGCTCCTTAGGTTTGATAAGTACATGTGGCTTTTCTCTCTCTTTTTTTCTCCGCCTAATGTCTCAACAAATGAAACGGATTTGTAAAAATGTTACATGGAAAAAATATGAGAGACATTACACTTACTTCTGTAAAACAAGAAAATCTTTAATAAAAATTAAAAAAAAATAAAAATAAGGACATGCGGCTGTTATACACATGTTCCTTGTTTGCTGTGCAGAGCACCATGCCTATGTTAGTACTGGGCAAACATACAAAAAGCCAAAAATTCAGCCTGCATGTGGGTGGGCATTTCACTGTGTCCAGGCTTCTAGCTGTTGAAGAACAAGAACTCAAAGACTCTTTCCAAAGACTTTAATGGTTAGATTGGTGTGATACATATGCAAATCACTGATCCAAGACACAGCAGGCAATACACATAGTCAATCCAAGGCTCAGATACACAAAGGTAGGTGATCTTACAACTCAAAACTTAGACATTGATCTGAGACTGATATGCCCCTTGCTATCCTTTGTAAAGGAATAGAGTGAGCTCAGCTTAGTGCATCAAGCAGTTTTGCTCCTTAGCAAGCAAACCTAGCACTCTGCGTTGAAGGTGGGATCTCCTCCATCTGTTCACACCTCTTATTTCTCTGGGATCTATGTGATGGAGGGTGTGTGTGTCTTCCCCCTCTGGAGAGGCACAGCTAGACTCAGCATCTGAAGGCTCCATGATGGGCTGCGTGAAAGGTGGTGTCAAAGATAGGCTCTGGCAATTGTGGAGAGGAAAGTGGGAATGGAGAGTTTGGGCACACAGCTCTCACTTCTGGGACAGATGAGGTGAAATAACAGGTTGAGGCTCATGGAGGCTTATGATACATACCTCCTCACTTAGTGTTTCACCGCCTTGGACAAGGGAGGGTTAATGTTTTATGGCAAGGACATTTGGTGTACTTTCTTTCAATGAATCTCCGCAATTTTGTTTGATGTAGTTCTAGTAATTATCATTGGTGCTGCTCACATAACTCCCACTTTCAGGAATTTCCAGTTTAAGTCTGATAAAATCCCTGATGTGATCTTTCAGACTCCTGTAGTGTGACATAGTATAGTGAAGAATTCGTTTTTAACATTTTGATTCTGCTACGTTTTGTAAACTGGGCTCAAGAACATAGAATTCAGAAAGCAATTCTGTTGAAGCATGTTGAGATACCATATATCCAGCTTGAAGTAGAAAAAAATTCACGATTTTTACATGGTCAAGTTCAGGATATAATAGTCGTGGTCAGAGGAGAGATGGGGAACATGTGGCACTTCAGATGTTGTTGGACTCCATCAACCCCAGCCAGCTTGGCCATCTGAAGGGCCACAGGTTCTCCATCCCTGGTCAAAGAAGTGAGGCACATGCTCAATCCAGTTCATATCAGATGATTGGCTGAAGAGTAACCGAAAGCTGCTCCCACCCATCAGTAAAGAGCTTGGTTGATTCTTAGGCCAGTTCAGATGTAGTGCACTATAACCCACAGATTTATCCAGTTTCCATTATGTCCAACCCATCCACCAATTTCCAAAAGTCCATCTGTCTTCCCTCTCTCCCCACTTAGTGGGTTGGAATGATAAATAGATAGAATACAGTTAGTTCAGGGACAGCCTGAGATGGAGCTGAATTCTTCTTCAGATTGGATTAAAATTCAAGTCAGAGAAGAATGGGTGGTTAATTGGTACTTCCAAGTTGAAGTAAACATTATGAGCCCTGAGCCAGCTTAGCCCAGTGGTTCCATCGACCAATGCATTGCTTGGATCCCCCAATCGCCTCCAGCGGTTTGAGACCCACGAGCGCTGCCTGGCTTTTTAAAAAGGAAAAGGGGGAAAAACATTATGAGCCCCTGTGAGTGTCACTGATATCACTAACCACAACCATGAGTGAGCTGGAAGACAATGGCTTGGAGAGAGGCAGTGCTGCCATTTTTGTGTGCCAGAACCTTTGGCACATTTATTGATGGTCTGTAGTGATGAGTTTCTCAATTATTTACTTAATTGCACACAGTAAGATAACTTAGTGTGTTTCTTCAAAATAATTCAAAATAATTTCTTCAAAATAATGCATCCAATTTAATGGTGAGATGTATCTATCTGTATATGCAATCACACATACATGCTTAAATAGGGTGGTGTGTTTTTTTAGTACAAGGCTTTACGGAGTTGAACTCTTTGTTCTGTTCTCAGCAGAACCCTCTCCTGTAAAATTAGGGGAACCTACAGACTTCTGCCCTCCTCAACTCTGGAAACAGCCTTGGGTCACTCAGGTCATTACTTCTGGTGTGGAGTAAACCCCCACCAGTTAACACATAGGCAGGTGTTTTATCCCAGCTGCCTTTGATGTTACAATTATGGCATTTTCCACACAAATTCTTTCTAGATGTCCATTGTAGGTCCATGCAAGACAAAACACAGTATTTTGTGTTGATTGTTTTTAAGGTCACTTCCTGGTGGTTGAGATTAAAGCCCGTTGGCAATGTCAAATGCCTGTTGTCTTGACCAATCTATTTTTGCAGGTAGATCCCCAGCAGCTTTGATTTCATGGTGTCACTATATAAATGCAGACATCAGTGGAAACAGAAGCAACTGTCAAAAATGATCAAGTACCGCTAATCAGAATTAATGATGGGTTTTGAGTGTCAAAAGTAATGAGCACTGCTGTGCAGACTGGAAAGCAGGGTGTTTTCTTTTTCAACTGTTGTAATAAGGCTGCACTAATTGGCACTTAGTTCTTAAGGAATTTTACTAAATTTTTGATATCCAAAGAGGTTACCTATGATGCATTTTGAGCTGTCTCGTTTCTGTAAAGATTGTTGTTGCTTTTTAAGTTGGGAAAACAGAGAGGAAGGGGGAGGGAACACACAATTTCGTGAAGGAAAAACACTAACACATATCAAATGTTGGATTAAGTCACATAGTAAAGTCAGCAGACCATCATGGATGTAAACAGTGTAGTAATGAAGAGATAATCAATTGAAAGTTGAATTTAAAACTAACCAGCTCTTCTACTGGACTGGAAAGTAGCATAAATATTCCAATCTTTGCACAACCTATTCCTCCTATGTGATCACAAAAAATTGCATATACAATCCTGCCATTTGGATCTACCCATTTTCTCTTGTTGGGAGGGACATGCACCTGTGATTCTGGAAACACACAGTTTCTAGGGCTGCTATGCCACATGTTCACCTCTTACTGTGATCTGCTACAAGCCTCATGATTATGGTTGAAATTTTCAGTGTTGGAATTCATGCCAGAACTTCCCAACTCCCTCCATTCACAGAATGGCTACTTCCAATCCAGAGGAGGCTTCTGCTGTATTTCAGGACAACATTTTCCATTGATGTCCTGTTCTGCCTACAGCTTTTCATGCTGCTCTGGAGAGTCCACCAACCAATCTTCCAGAATGGCAAAGAAGCAACAGGGCAAGGGGGGATTATATATATATATAAAATTGCTGTTCCCCTATGCTAGTGGAAGCATCCTGTAAACAGGACTATGCTTACAAAACATCCTTGCTAGCAGAACCTTAACTAAGATCTCAGCCTTTGTCTTTATTTATTGCTTCAAAATGCATATGATACCTTTAATTCCTACAAGGCTTCAATACTGTATCTTTTAACCCATCATCTTTTATTTCATTTCTTCAAAGCTCACAATTTCCAGCTCTCAGTACAAACAAAAACAAACAAGCAAACATGAATTGAATAGCTCTCTGTCAGGACAATGCAGTCATTTTGCACTGAAAGCTCCACTTTTGCAGCTCCCCACAAACTGAGTAATTGATATATCAAACACAAAGTTCCTAGTTAACACCTCAAAATCCAACAGTATCCAAATCAGTTCAAACCAGTGTGGGGGTGCTGCAAAACGTGTGGTTTTGCACTGCAAAAATTTGGTACAAGTTTGGAGGGGGATCTCAAATTTGGGGGTTCATAGTTCATAAGCCTGTTTTCTAGACAGTTTGTGGTCTCTCAATGTGTAGTGAAGTGTAGTGAAGTTGCTAGTGAAGTTGCTAGAGATTTCACTTATATACAGTAAAGCCAGTGGGACATTATTGGCTCTGCTGATCATCTGATCCTGCTGTACTTCTTTTTCCAGCCATCTGTAGTGGAAGTGATGCAGAACAGCAGAGATGAAACCAACAGTTCCCTTTGCCTGCTAGCCAGCCCAGAAAACTGGACTCCACTGGCCAGATCCCAGCTTCTGGTTGCTAACAGCTTCCATGGAGCACAGTTCTGTTATTTACTATGGACAGAAGCTCTTCCCTTTACTGATGAGTGACTACCTACTCCGACTGCCCCACCACTCACATTTTCTTCCATTTAAAACAATGTGAAGCCTCTAGATTCTTGACCCAGCGGGCACCATCTAGTACAATAGAACCAGAGAGCAACCAAGTTCCTAGGCTGATTTGAAGAAAGGAGGGCACTTGTTAAAATAGGACTAAAGAATGTGTTGTGTGTGTGTGTGTGTGTGTGCCAATCAGTGTTTGAGGCCTGACATCCAGTGCTATCCTTCCCATGGATTGCACTATTGTTATTTCCTTGTCGGAGGAAAAGGGTGGAATACGAAACCCTAATGAAGGAATAAATTTCCAGTTTGTGATCTAATACAGACAGACCTCTATAATAAGCATGCATAGCATTATGGCAGTGCACAGAGCAAAAGCAAACAATGGGATGGGTCTGTCCATCATTTATTCCTCAGATAGAAAGCGGGTAGGGAGAAGCAAAGCCTTGCCTGCTCTGTGATTGATACAATTTCACATAACCCCGCCATCCCCTGTTTAAACTCCCCAAGTCCATTTGCAATCAGTGGTGTGGCTTAATAGCTAGCTTGAAGGTCATTAGCATCTTGTTATAAATGTTAATGGCCACAATGATGTGGGGGATGGCTCTTTGTTGCTGCTAACATCATGACTAAATGGGAAAAATCTCCCTATTCATCCCGTAGCCCCTCTTTTATTCGGTTGTCAGGGGCCTATTGTGGAACCAAACACTATCAGACGTTACTCCTTGCTTAATGGCAGCAGCTTGTCATTGACGGCTGGGAAGTGGGAGGGGAACGGTACTGGCACCAGTCACCAGGTGGTGGCCAACTGGCCAGCAACTCTCACAGATCTGAACCTAGCACAAGTTGCATCAGGGCTGGCTACAAAAGGCACACATGTGTCTTCTGCAGGCTTCATTAACTCCTTTGAAAGAGCCGAGTACCTTTCTGACATATTAATTAGTTGCTGCGCCTTCTTTACTCCCCAAGTTTAACCTTTTTTGCAGTGGTCACTTGATTCAAATTACTAATAATTGCAAGGCTGTTAGAGCCCTATTTATGTAAAGTGCCTCAAAAGCCTTCCCAGGCGGAATGAGGAGGTGGATGTTTCATATCCTTGTAAAATTGAAGGGGGGGGTACGGGAGAAGAAGAAACAAAGGGGGGGGGGGGACAGATTAAGGTTTCCGTTTTAAAAACTAATACAGTTTAAATGTAGCAAGGCATCTAGAAGCCAGTCCTTTGTATTAAATCCATGCAAATATTTTTTAAAAAGTATTTTGATTTGAAAGTGACTTCTAAAAAAAATAAAAACACATATTCACCATGCTGACACCCCCATATATCAGCTCTGTTTACATGCATATAGCTCTTCTTAATGTATGAAGAATCCATGCAGCCATCCTATAAGTTGCATGGATCAATAATCATTACACCCATCTTGCATGGAGCATATGTATTATTTATCATATATACAGCTGAGAAGAAGCTGAGGCTGAAGAGAGAGCTCATGGCAGTGGCAAGATTTGTACTGATAACCCCTTGGCTTCACAATTCATTTTCTAAGCCACTACTCTGCACTAAACTTGCTTGCTGCTGTCTTGTTAATCTATGAGCATATTCTAATATTCTAAGATCTGGGGGGGGGGGGGACCTCCTGCAACTTGGAAATGGGCCTTTCTGTATGGGTAACCAAGATATGAAATGCTACTCATCTATTTATGCAATTTTTACTACCACTATGGACGTGTCTTTCACAGATTTGTATTGGCATTTGCCTTTGGCACAGCACTGCATGGCACGTGTGTTTTTTAAATTCCATCTCAGTTATGAAATTTCTTGGGGGGGGATGGGAAGCCCTTTTTCAGCCATGCTCATTCCTTTCCTCCTATCCCATGCTTTGTACAGAGGATATTTTAGTTTTACAAGATCCTAATAAGAATGAGATCACTGCAGATGGTGACAGCAGTCACAAAATTAAAAGACGCCTGCTCCTTTGGAGAAAGGTGATGGCAAACCTAGACAACATCTTAAAAAGCAGAGACATCACCTTGCCAACAAAGGTCCGTATAGTAAAAGCCATGGTTTTCCCAGTAGTGATGTATGGAAGTGAGAGCTGGACCATAAAGAAGGCTGATCGCCGAAGAATTGATGCTTTTGAATTATGGTGCTGGAGGAGACTCTTGAGAGTCCCATGGACTGCAAGAAGATCAAACCTCTCCATTCTTAAGGAAATCAGCCCTGAGTGCTCACTGGAAGGACAGATCCTGAAGCTGAGGCTCCAATACTTTGGCCACCTCATGAGAAGAGAAGACTCCTGGAAAAGACCCTGATGTTGGGAAAGATGGAGGGCACAAGGAGAAGGGGACGACAGAGAATGAGATGGTTGGATGGTGTTCTTGAAGCTACCAGCATGAGTTTGATCAAACTGCGGGAGGCAGTGGAGGACAGAAGTGCCTGGCATGCTCTGGTCCATGGGGTCACGAAGAGTCGGACACGACTAAACGACTAAACAACAACAACAAAACAACAATAAGAATGATAG